CCCCCTCCCGCTTTTCCCTCCCGATTCCCGCCTTTTCCCGATTTTTTTCCTTTTCCCGCTTTTCCCGATTTTTTTGGGCTTTATCCCGTTTTTTCCCGCCTCACCCCGCGCCCCCTCCCCCCCCCGCTATTGTGCGGGGCGGCCGCAGCCGGGCGGGGCCGCCATCTTGCCGCGATCCCAGCATGCCCCGCGCCGACGAGTGGGCGTGGCCTCCCCTCCCGACCAATCACAGACGCCGCTGGGGGAGTGGCGCCAAAGCCTCCCGGCCAATCAGCGCCGAGAAGGGGCGTGGCCCAACCCCCCGTATCAAGCAATGAGGAGGGGCGGGTTATGCCCATATAAGGCGATGAGGGGGCGGGGTTTATGCTAATGAGGGGTGTTTGATTGATGGCGAGGCCACGCCCAGGGCGGAGGGGGGGGGAGGGGCCGCTTTCGGGACCCCCCAAAATTCCCGAAAAAATCCCAAAAATTCCCGAAAAAATCCCAAAAATTCCCCAAAAATTCCCAAAATTCCCCCCAAATTCCAGCCCCGGACCCAACTGGGAACCCCAAAACCCCCAAAATTCCCCCAAAGTTCCATCAAATCCCCCCAAAATTCCAACAAATCCCCCCAAAATTCCCCCAAAATTCCAACAAATCCACCCAAAAAAATCCTGATAAAAATTCCCCAAAAAACTCCCAAAAAATCCCCAAAAAATCCCCACAAATCCCCAAAAATTCCATCCAACAATTCCCAAAAAAATCCCAAACTTTCCCCCAAAAGTTTCCCGCAAAAAAACCCAAAACAATCCCCAAAAAATTCCCATAAAAAGTCAAAAAAAAATCCCCAAAAATTCCCTAAAAATTCCCCAAAAAAACCCCAAAAATTCCTGATAAAAATCCCTAAAACTTCCCCAAAATTCCCAAAAAATCCCCCCAAAAATTCCCAAAAAATGCCCAAAAAATCCCCAAATATTCCCCAAAAAATCCCCAAATATTCCCAAAAAATCCCCAAATATTCCCAAAAAATCCCCAAATATTCCCAAAAAATCCCAAAAAAATTCCCCAAAAAAATCCCAAAAAAATCCCTAAAAAATTCCCCAAAAAATCCCCAAAAACTCCCCCAAAACTTCCCAAAAATTCCCAAAAAATTCCCCCAAAAATCCCCAAATATTCCCAAAAAATCCCCAAAAATTCCCAAAAAGATCCCAAAAAATCCCCAAAAATTCCCAAAAATTCCCCAAAAAATTCCCATGAAATCCCCATAAAATTCCCGGTTTTCCCTCCCCCCGGAATTCCCGGGAATTCCCGGGATTCTCCCCTCCCCCGCTCACCTGGGCTCCTCGGGGCGTTCCCGGCGCTGCCCCTCCCCCTCCTGCGGAACGAACCAATGATCGGTCACGGGGGGGGGAGGGGGAGGGGCTTGGCCACGCCCCTTTTCCCGCCAAAGCCCCGCCCCCTCCTCAAGCCCCGCCCCCTTTCGGGTGAGGCCGCCCCGAGGGGGGAGGGGAGAAACTGGCGGGAAATTTGGGGGAAATTTTGGGAATTTTGGGGGAAATTTGGGGAATTCTGGGGGAAATTTGGGGATTTTGGGGAAATTTGGGGAGTTTTGGGGAAGTTTTGAGGATTCTGGGGGAATTTTGGGAATTCTGGGGGAAATCTGGGGAATTTTAGGGAAGTTTTGGGAATTTCGGGGGAAAATTTGGGGAATTTTTGGGAAATTTTGGGAATTCTGGAGGAAATTTGGGAATTTTGGGGGAAATTTGGGGAATTTTGGGGGAAATTTGGGGAATTTTGGGGAAGTTTTGGGAATTCTGGGGAAGTTTTGAGAATTTTGGGGGAAATTTGGGAATTTTGGGGGAAATTTGGGGAATTTTGGGGAAATTTGGGGAATTTTGGGGAAGTTTTGGGAATTCTGGAGGAAATTTGGGAACTGGGGGAAATTTGGGGAATTTTGGGGAAGTTTTCGGAATTTCGGGGGAAATTTGGGAATTCTGGAGGAAATTTGGGAATTCTGGGGGAAATTTGGGGAATTTTGGAGAAATTTTGGCGATTTGGGGGATTTTTGGGGGAATTTGGGGGATTTTGGGGCATTTTGGAGGAAATTTGGGAATTTTTTGGGAACTTGGGGAATTCTGGGGGAATTTTTGGGGAATTTTGGGGGAAATTTGGGGAATTTTGGAGGAAATTTGGGGAATTTTGAGGGAAATTTGGGGAATTTTGGGGAAGTTTTGGGAATTCCCGGGGAATTTCGGGGAATTCCGTGGAAACTTCCGGAACTTTGGCGCCAAATTTTCGGGATTTTTTTGGGGGAAATTCCGGCTTGAAGTTCCCCGGCCCCTCCCCCCTTTAAGCCCCGCCCCCTTTTCCCCTCCAAGCCCCGCCCCCTCTTTAAGCCCCGCCCCCCTTTTAAGCCCCGCCCCCTTCTTTGCTCACCTGAGCTCCCCCCGCAGGTGAGGCCGGCCCGGGGTGGGGGGAGGGGCAGGAGGAAGAGGAGGAGGAGGAGGAGGGGGGGGAGGGGCGGGGAGGGGGCGGGGCCTCGGCGCTGAGCAGAGGGGGGAGGGGCTCCCCTTCCTCCTCCTCCTCCTCCTCAAGCCCCTCCCCCTTTTCCGGAAGCCCCTCCCCCTTTTCCGGAAGCCCCGCCCCTTGCAGGGGGGGAGGGGAGGGGCTCCCCCGGCCGGTTTCCTCCACTTCCGGTTTCGCCGGCTCCACTTCCGGCGTCGCTTCCGGGTTCGGCTCCGCCCCTTCCTGTTTCGGCGACGCCGCTTCCGGTTTCGGGGAGGCGACTTCCGGGTCCGGCCCCGCCCCTTCCGGTTTTTCCGGCGGGGGTTTGGGGGCTTCTTCCTCTTCCTCTTCCTCCTCTTCCTCCTCGTCTTCCTCCTCCTCCTCCTCCTCCTCTTCCTCCCCGGCCACGCCCACCTGGGGGGCGGGGCGGCGGCGCCGGGGGGCGGGGCCGGGCTCGGGGGCGGGGCCGGGGGGCGGGGCCGAGCGGGTCTGGCGGGAAAAGGGCGGAAGGAAAGGGCGGGAAATGAGGATTTGGGATCGAAACGGGGAAATTGAGGCCAAAGTCGGGGAGCTTTGAACCGAAATCCAGAAAATTTCACCCAAAAAGGGGAAATTTGACCCAAAATGGGGAATTTTGACCCAAAAATGGGGAAATTTGACCCAAAAATGGAGAAATTTGACCCAAAAATGGAGAATTTGACCCAAAAATGGAGAATTTTGACCCAAAATGGAGAATTTTGACCCAAAAATGGAGAATTTTGACCCAAAAATGGAAAATTTTGACCCGAAAATGGAGAAATTTGACCCAAAAATTGAGAATTTTGACCCAAAAATGGGGAAATTTGACCCAAAAATGGAGAATTTTGACCCAAAACGGGGAAATTTGACCCAAAAATGGAGAATTTTGACCCAAAAATGGAAAATTTTGACCCGAAAATGGAGAAATTTGACCCAAAAATTGAGAATTTTGACCCAAAAATGGGGAAATTTGACCCAAAAATGGGAAATTTGACCCAAAAATGGGGAATTTTGACCCAAAAATGGAAAATTTTGACCCGAAAATGGAGAAATTTGACCCAAAAATTGAGAATTTTGACCCAAAAATGGGGAAATTTGACCCAAAAATGGAGAATTTTGACCCAAAACGGGGAAATTTGACCCAAAAATGGAGAATTTTGACCCAAAAATGGGGAATTTTGACCCAAAAATGGGGAAATTTGACCCAAAAATGGAGAATTTTGACCCAAAAATGGGGAAATTTGACCCAAAAATGGGGAAAATTCCCAAAATTTCCCCCAAATCCCTTTCGAAACTCCCCCAGAATTCCCAAAATTCCCGGATTTCCCCCGGAATTCCCGGATTTCCCCCGGAATTCCCGGATTTCCTCACCATCCTCCTCCGCTCCTTCCTCCCGCCTCCTTCCTCCTCTTCCTCCTCCTCCTCCTCCTCCCCCGGCTCCGAGGCTGCCAAGGGAAAAAAAAATGGGAATTTTCCGGGAATTTTCCGGGAATGCTCTGGGAATTTTTCGGGGAATTTTTGGGAATGTTTTGGGAATTTTTCGGGGAATTTTTCGGAATTTTGGGGGAATTTGGGGGAATTTTTTGGGGATTTTTCAGGGAATTTTTGGGGATTTTTTGGGAATTTTTCAGGGAATTTTTCAGGGATTTTTGGGAATTTTTCCGGGATTTTTTCGGAAACATTTTGGGGATTTTTTCCGGAATTTTCTGGGAATATCCCTGGAATTTTCGGGCAGTTTTGGGGGGGGGTTTCTTGGGAACATTTCAGCAACTTTTCGGGAATTTCCCAAGAATTTGTCGGGAATTTTTCCGGAATTTTTTGGGGGGGGGAATTTTTCAGGGATTTCTCGGGGATTTTTTTGGGGGGGATTTCCCAGGAATTTTTTGGGGAATTTTTCCGGAATTTTCCGGGGGGTTTCTTCGGGAATTTTGGGGGGTTCTCACCTCGAGGTTCCGGAGGGTCCCGGCCCTGCTGGAGCAGCTCCTGCTGCTTCTCCAGGTACTGCTTGATGATGCTGTTCTGCCCCATGGCCTCGCCCATCTGCCGAAAAATCCAGCAATTCCCAAAAAATCTGGGATCCAATCGGGGATTTTTGGGAATTTTTCCCCATTTTCCCCCATTTTTCCCCATTTTTTCCCATTTTTTTTGTGATTTTTGAGGATTTTTTAGGAATTTTTTGTGATTTTTTTAAGGATTTTTTAAAGATTTTTAGGGATTAAGTGAAGCTCTTCCACCCCCAAATCCCAAAAAATTGGGAATTCCCAAAAATTCGGGATCGTTTCCAAATTTTTTGGGAATTTTTTCCCATTTTTTGCGATTTTTTTGGTGATTTTTGAGGATTTTTTAGGAATTTTTTGTGATTTTTTTAAGGATTTTTTAAAGATTTTTAGGGATTAAGTGAAGCTCCTCCACCCCCAAATCCCAAAAAATTGGGAATTCCCAAAAATTCGGGATCGTTTCCGAATTTTTTGGGAATTTTTTCCCATTTTTTTCCCATTTTTCCCCATTTTTTCCCCATTTTTTGCGATTTTTTTGGTGATTTTTGAGGATTTTTTAGGAATTTTTTAGGGATTTTTTAAGGATTTTTGGAAGATTTTTAGGGATTAAGTGAAGCTCTTCCACCCCCAAATCCCAAAAAATTGGGAATTCCCAAAAATTCGGGATCGTTTCCAAATTTTTTGGGAATTTTTTCCCATTTTTTTCCCATTTTTTGCGATTTTTTTGTGATTTTTGAGGATTTTTTAGGAATTTTTTGTGATTTTTTAAGGATTTTTTAAAGATTTTTAGGGATTAAGTGAAGCTCCTCCACCCCCAAATCCCAAAAAATTGGGAATTCCCAAGAATTTGGGATTGTTTCCGAATTTTTGGGAATTTTTTCTCATTTTTTTCCCATTTTTTGGTGATTTTTGGGAATTTTTTCCCCATTTTTTTGGTGATTTTTTGGGATTTTTTCCCATTTTTTTTCCCATTTTTTGGTGATTTTTGGGAATTTTTTTCCCATTTTTTGGTGATTTTTGGGAATTTTTTCCCATTTTTTTTCCCCATTTTTTGGTGATTTTTGGGAATTTTTTTCCCATTTTTTTGGTGATTTTTGGGAATTTTTTCCCATTTTTTTTCCCATTTTTTGGTGATTTTTGGGAATTTTTTTCCCATTTTTTGGTGATTTTTGGGAATTTTTTCCCATTTTTTTTCCCCATTTTTTGGTGATTTTTGGGAATTTTTTTCCCATTTTTTTGGTGATTTTTGGGAATTTTTTCCCATTTTTTTTCCCATTTTTTGGTGATTTTTGGGAAATTTTTTCCCATTTTTTGGTGATTTTTTGGGAATTTCTTTTCCATTTTTTTGGTGATTTTTGGGAAATTTTTTCCCCTTTTTTGTGATTTTTTGGGAATTTTTTTCCCATTTTTTTTCCCAATTTTGGTGATTTTTGGGAATTTTTTTGCTGATTTTTGGGATTTTTTTTCCCATTTTTTGGTGATTTTTTGGGAAATTTTTTCCCATTTTTTGGTGATTTTTGGGATTTTTTTTCCCATTTTTTTCCCATTTTTTCTGGTGATTTTTGGGAATTTTTTTCCCAGTTTTTGCTGATTTTTGAGAATTTTTTTCCCATTTTTTTCCCATTTTTTTGGTGATTTTTGGGAATTTTTTAGGGATTTTCGGGGCTCTGGGCGAAGCTTTTCCACCCCCAGATCCCAAAAATCCGGAATTCCCAAATTTCTGGGATTTTTTTTTTTTTGGAAAAAATTGGGATTTTTTTCGGAATTTTGGGGTTTTTTGTGGCTTTTTTGGGGGGAAATTTCAGGGAATTTGGGAAAATCTGGGATTTTTTTGGGAGGGATTTAAGGAAAAATTTGGGGAGAATTCGGGAGAAATTTGGGGAATTCAAGGAAATCTGAAAGGATTCGGGAATTTTGGGATTTTTGGGGGAATTTTGGGCAATTTAAAGAAGATTTTGGGGGAATTTTCAGGGAATTCAGTGAAATTTTGGGGAGATTCTTTTGATTTTTGGGGAGGATTTGAAACAATTTTGAATTTTGGGGGTTTTTTTTTGGGGTGATTTGAGAGGATTTGGGGCAGTTTAATGAAGATTTTGGGTGAATTTGGTGAAATTTGGGTGAATTATTTTTATTTTTGGGATTATTTCAAGCAATTTTGAATTTTTGGGGATTTTTTGGGGAGACTTGAGAGGATTTTGGTCAATTCAACGAAAATTTGGGGTGAATTTTGTTAATTTTTGAGAGAATTTTGTTGATTTTTGAGGGAAATCGAGGCAATTTTGAATTTTTGGGGGATTTTTTGGGGCGATTTGAGGGGATTTTGGTCAATTTAACGAAGATTTTTGTGGAATTGGTGGAATTTGGGTGAAATCCGGGCGATTTTGGGCAATTCTCACCTGGGAATTGGGCTGGAAGGTCGGGTGGGGGCTCGAGTGCTTCTGGAGGTTCTCCAACATCAGCGCCTGAATTTTGGGTCAAATCACACAAATTTCAGTCAAAAACAAAAAATCTCCAATCCCAAATCCCATCAATTCCTCTTTCCTCAATTTCCAGCCCCAAAATCCCCGGAATTCCCCCCAAAATCCCAAATTTCCGACCCAAAAACCCCACAAAAAAAAAGCCCAAAAATCAAATTTTTTATGCCCCAAAAATCAAATTTTTATGCCCCAAACCCGCGATTTTTCCACTCAAAACCTCACCAAATTCATCATTTTTTGCCCCAAAACCGCGATTTTTCCCTCAAATCCCTCACAAATCGGCCAAAAATATCATTTTTTAACAAAAATCCCCTCAAAACAACCTCGAATCGCCCCAAAAATTTATTAGAAAAGCGAAAAATCCTGAGTTTTGCCCCAAATTCCTCCCCAAAACCGCGAATTTCGCCCCAAATTCACCGAAATTGGCTTTTAAAACTTAAAGTCGCTTCAGGTTTTTGGCCGAAATTCATCAAAACCGGGATTTTCGCCTCAAATTTCCGCAAGAACCTCCCAAAATCGGGATTTAAAACTTGATTATTTTAATTTTTTTTTTCCACTGGAATTGGTCAAAACCGCGATTTTTACCGCAAATCCCCTCACAAAAACCTCAAAATCGGGGTTTTTAACCCAAATCTCCTCAGAATTTCCTTCAAAGTCACAAAAACCGAGATTTTTACCCCAAATCCCCTCAAAAAAAACCTCAAAACCGCGGCTTTCACCTTAAATTTCCTCCGATTTCTCCTCAAACTCATCAGAAGCGCGATTTTTACCTCAAATCCCCTCACAAACTCCTCAAAATCGGAGTTTTAAACCCAAATCCCCTCAGACTTTTCCTCCAATTCATCAAACCCGGGATTTTCACCCCAAATCCCCTCAGAAAAACCTCAGAAGTGGAGTTTTAAACCCAAAGCCCCTCAGAGTTTCCTTGAAAGTCACAAAAAACGCGGATTTTACCTCAAATCCCCTCCGATTTCTCCTCAAATTCGCCAAAACCGCGGATTTTACCCCAAATCCCCTCATAAATTCCTGAATCCCGGAGCTTTAAACCCAAATCGCGCCACACTTCAACCCGAACTCACAAAAACCGGGATTTTCACCGCAAATCCCCTCACAAAAACCTCAAAAGTGGAGTTTTAAACCCAAATCGCCTCAGAGTTTAACCCGAACTCACAAAAAGCGCGACTTTTACCTCAAATCCCCTCCGATTTCTCCTCAAACTCACCAAAAAATCGAGATTTTTACCCCAAATCCCCTCACAAACTCCTCAATCCCGGACCTTTAAACCCAAATCGCGCCACACTTTCCCCCAAACTCACAAAACCCGCGGACTTTACCCCAAATACCCCTCACAAAAACCCCAAAACCCGCACTTTTCAACCCAAACCGCCTCGAGCTTTACCTCAACCTCCCAAACCGCCACTTTCACCCCAAAACCCCGCACAAAACCTTTTCTTTCAACCCCAAACCCCACTCCGCTCCAAACCCTCCCCTCTCACCTCAAACCTCCCCTCACCACCGACCCAAAATCCCCTTTTTTCACCCCAAACCTCAGCTCGATTTGTGGGGGGGGGGGGGTGGTGGGGGGGTGTTGG